CCTCTTTCCTTGAAGCTCTTCTTCCAGTTGTTGACTAAGGACAACTTTAGCAGAGCTATTGGTTTTGATTTAACATAATAAAAAACTAATCCACTTCTATTATAAAGCAAAGTGACTGATGATATAGAAAAAAATATTCAAACATTAAAAGCATTTTAAATTGACAAACAAGTTATAGCAACACAATATTTTTTATATATACAAAAGAATAAATAATCAAGTGGGAATGCATAAGTTTTCAACCAATTTCAACAATTTTTGTATCAAAATGCTCAGCTTGTTCAGGAGAATGTTGCTATGTCTTTTGGTAAAGATATTTTTTGTTTGTTTTTTCTTGATATTCAGCTTTTTCTGTGTTTTTTTTTGTCCCATTGAAATGCATTTAGAATTCTTATATTTTAGCTAAATTCAGATAAACCTTCACCATATTTGACCTTTAACTACTTCAGCATACTTTCAGCTAGAAACACCATTCAACTTTTAAAATGTTTCCATATCTTTCTGCTATTGCTGTTTAACTCAGCTTTTTGCTAACTTTTACAGGTTTGCTTCAGTGAAGCTTCAAACGTTTAAAGAATTTTTACAGATTTTCACATTTATAATGGAAGTCTATGGACGGAATGTTCAGCTGCTAGAGTGTGGTCACTCTAGGGTTTTCAAACATTTCACTCATGCCAAACAGCTTCAACTCACTCACTCATTTCTCACTCTATGTAGAAAAATTATACATCAAAACATAAGTATTTTTGTCAGGATTCAGGAAATGTATTCCTCATTTGTGTGGGATTTACAGTTTTCCTACAGTTTGCCCTAGACCACGAAGAAGTCCACACTTCCCCAATAGAAATCCAATGAGAGACTTTCCAAAAATCACAGACGAAAATCCAAAACAACAAATGTTTTCGTATCGCTGCCACTTTTCAACCATTTCATGCACAAACATGAAACTTGGTATACAACATCTTCAGACCCTACTAGCACTTACATTGAAGGATTTTTTTCAATATCCTTTATAGTTTAGCTGTTTAGCTGACTTTTTCGGGTATACGAAAACGTTGATTGTGAGAAAAATCCGCAGACTAGGAAAAAACAAATTTTTACATCGTCACCATGGCCAAATAGTCTTTAGTAGGAACATGACATTTGGCATAATCGAAGCCGAGGGATGGCTGACACCCATAGTAAAAGAAGTTTTTTAATACCCTATACAGCTTTGGCTCACCACTTGTTTGTGGGGTTTTTCAGCACCTGGAAGCTCAGTGAACCTGAGGTGAGGATGTAATCCAATCAGACGAGAAGGTGGGACAAATCATTATGTTTCTCTTCCCATTAGGGTTGTAAAAGAGCTACAGACATGAATGTTATCCCAATCGGACACAAGGGATAGCTGTCACTTAGACGGAAATAATTTTTTGGAAACCATTTACGGTTTTGGCTCACCACTGGTTTGTTTGGAGGGTTGGTTTGGCTTTTGAGAGCTCAGTTCTAACAAGAAGCTACATATTATTTAATGAGAGGAGCAGGTGTGACACACCTTTTTATTTCTCCTTCCCATTATAGTTGTGAATGAGCGAGAGCCATGAAAGTTACTCCTATTGGAGACAAGGGATAGCTGTCGCTTAGATTGAAAGAATTTTTTAGATACCATTTACGGTTTGCCTTCAGCACTCATTTGTTCAGAGCTGTTTTTCCCATTCACGACGCTACGGAAGCCGGCAGACCAAACCAGCGCATTCAGCTCGGCAAAGAACTCATGCTCTTCCTCAACACTGAAGTCCTCAGACATTTTTCTTTCGTTGTTTCTTTCTTTGCACAGGTAAACAGCACATTTCTTCTTCTACGCTTGCATTATTGGCAGAGCAGACGCTGAATGCGCACTTTCATCTGGTTTGGTCTGCCGGCTTCCGTAGCGTCGTGAACACGCATGTGCGCGCTTACAGGAAATCCTATACACTACTGTTTATGCTCTAAAAACATTCTAAATGAATTCGTTTCGAGTAAATTATGGACGCTACCCACTCAGGACACTTGGAATACATTGGACGAGCAGTATGGAGGAATATTGACACGTTTTTTGTGGACTTTTATGGACCTTTCTGCCTCGGGCGCCATAGACCTCCATTATTTGAATGTCAGCAGACAGCAAGAATCCTCCCAGATCTCCAGATGCATTTGAGATATCAAAAAAGTACTCCAGAGTGTTGTTCAGTATGGGGGTGAGTAGAAAATGAAGGCTAATCATGTTTTGGGTGTACTATTCCTTTAAGGCTGACACTGACAGGCTCGTTAACGTCGTCAAGGTAACCGAGCTTCAACGGGATTTTACCTCTGCCACTTTAAACAGCACATTTTGATCTAATGGAGGGAGACAACACTGATTTAAGATTAGGAAGTGGATACAATATGACTACTGGCCATGACCCTTCCCTTCACACACAACCCTGATAGACTTTCAAAATAAGACTCCGGGGACCCTACAAAATAAAAGCCCCTACATTAAACTAATTTTTTTCCCCAGCATATAGCTCAACATTATGACCCAAACTCAACCACTTTTTAAAAAAAATTAGACTCTAGGGGGGTTTTCAAAACACACCCCACAGCAAATTTCACAATAAAAGCCTTCCACTGCCACGTCATCTACTGCCCTAATAACAGGGGAAAAAAGTGATTTAACGATTGGAAAGTCATCAAGTATCACTGCTGGGTCTGTCCCTTTTCCTCAACACACAACCATGCTAGACTTTCAAAATAAGACTCCAGTGATCCTACAAAATAAAAGCCTCTATATTATACTTGTGTATTAATTGATGCAAATGGCTCAACATTATGACCCAAACTCTACCAGCTTGTTTCTGTTAGACTCTAGGGTCCTTTTCAAAACATACCCCAGAGCGAATTTCACAATAAAAGTCTCCCATTTACGCTCTAATACAGCATCTATTCACCCAATAACATGGAAAACAAGTGATTGCATATTTAGAATTGGATTCTATATCACTGCTGGGCATGACCCTTCCCCTGACACACATCTATGATATACTTTCGAAATAAGACTAAAGGGACTCTACAAAATAAAAGCCTCTTTCGTACATACACTCATTCATTGTGCCGTATGACTCATAGCTATGACCCAAACTCAACCAATTTTTTCAAATTACACTACCAAGGCCTGTTGACCACACACCTCAGTGCATATTTCTTAATCAGGTTCTAAGATTTACACTGTAATAAAGCATCTGCTAACCTCGTAACATGCAGCCTAAGCCTGCCAACGGTGCTTTCATCACCACAGCGGTTCATATCATGCAGGTTAGTTTTTTTTTTTTTTGATAAATTCAGCTCCTTAAGTGGTATTAGCTCTCTTTCTATAAGCTTCTCTCTCTGTCCTTCCTCTGCTTCTCATGGTTAGTCTTGCACATAGGTTTGTGAATTTTCAATCCTTAAATGATGACACTGTTTTCTTTATGCTGATCAACCGACACATTTTAAATAATTTAAATTTTTTTTGCCAAGTCTTGACATTTCCACATATGATTTCAAAATTTTTATACTTATTCAATACCATTGTCCTCAACATTTTACTTCCCATCCTTAAGCTACTAATTTTTTCTTCAACCAGATAAGATTAAAGTTTTTCTTTGTAATTTATTTTCTGAATCAGCTAATTTAATACTTTTCAGCCTATGCTGTGAACTTTGGCTTCATTCTGCTCTCTTTCTGGACAGGAATTAAGCTTTTCTGTTTGCTGCTAATTCATAACACGCCTGACATGTTTCTGGAAAGTAGGTAAACCCCCCTTTAAAATTTCTTTATACATTTTTCTAGAAACTTAGGAAACATTACGTTAAGACTCTTCTAGTGCCCACATTCAAGACATTTTTTGATATCATGTATGGTTTCGCTGTGCAGCTTTTAAGATGAGTTTGTTTCTGCCAATTTACTGCCAAATGATTCTACCCTACAAAATCTTCAGATGATTCAATTGTTTTCTGCAGTTTTAAGTTTCTGATGACTTCCTATCACAATTTCATATGTTCTTCAGGTAATTTCAGCTTGTTTCATTCAGCAAAAGCATTCCCACTTTGATGTTTCTCCGAAACAGCTTTTTCTAGTTTATTTTCTTCTTCATCTATTCTTAGGCACAAATGCAATTAAAACCCTTGCACCATTCAGCCCTGTCATGGAGAATGGAAAGTGGCAAGGAAAAAAAACTATTGTTGAACAAAGCTTTAAGAAACATTTATTCTGTGTGATAAAAGCATATTCTGAGATCTGATGTTGCCAGAAATTTAACTTTTTGACAAATCCCAATTTGCAGAGAAGGGAAACAAATACTTCATATTACCCTGAACACAGCTTTCCTATAAAACATGTTGCCAGCTATAAGAATTATTTTCTTCATTATGGATATGGAAGCCGTTTAGAGCTAATGGAATAAGAATGGGACTAAATGCAATCCTAGGAAGAAGAATTAAAAAATAAACAATTTGAGGCTGTAGAAGACTGAGATGTGAGAGCTGACATGACTCTAAGCACACAGCCAGAGCTGCAATGGATCAGTTTAGTGTTAGAATGGTCTATTCAGAGTCCAGATCTAAATCCAGTTTATGAACCGATTCATGTGTTTTAACTAATAAAAAGTGCAAAAACTCTAAATGAGCAAAGCTGGTAGATAAACATCATCATCCGCTTGCTGTTATAACTGTTGCAAAAGGCAGTTCTTTAATGTACAGACTTATTAACACATTAGATGTTTTCATTGTATATACAAAAATAAAGTAGGAACCCTAGTATATTTTAACTACTTTATATTTATGCACAAATTTCTGGTGAATCATAAAATTCAAAGGTGTAACCGTCATAGCAGAGGCACTTTCCATTCTCCATCATAATGGAGAATGGACATTATGATGGAGAATTATGTCCATTGTCTACAGTTAGTCTAAAGTTAGAAGTAAAAATACTTCTAACTGTTTATTTATGCTTCTTTTACTCACCAAGCAGAGAATTCTGGACTGACTCTACAGTCATTAGCATCTTCCTTGGAATCCACAGGAACAGCTCCTCTGCCTGTCGGTTAAAAACACGTACACAATGAAATGAGCCCAACAATTGTGGTGTCTGTATTTTTTTTTATAAACTAAACATTTATCTGATGAAATGTCCCTTAAACTCCCACCTTGATGTCTCTGGTAGCTTGCAGACCATAGCCCTCTGTACCAAAGTTGGCCACGGCAAAACCGTCACAGGATGCCCCGTTCTCCTGAGCCCAGGACATCAAATCGGGGAAGTAATCCTCCCTGTTGCCTTCGAACACCGTTGACAAACCTGAATAAGGGAGAGAAAAAAAATTTATTTTATCATCTCTAAAAGAAAGGTGTTTAGGAGAAGTTATGTTGAACGCACCCTTTTGTTTCTTTCTGATCTTCTCCACCAAACTTCTGATCTGGATGTACTCATCCCACTCTTTACCAGCAGAGGGTGCTGCACTGCTGCATTCTGGGAAAACAGGTTTCAATTAGTCAGGATAAAGTCATTTATTGAGGAGGAAAGGAATTAAAGTTCAAAAGGGTGAACATACTCTGGAGAAGTTCAGAGATGAGGTTCATCATCTCCTTTGGGGAAATGACAGTGTTGGCTCCAGAGCCAGACTTCTGAGTCTTCACCCGGCTCTTCTTTCCCATGGTGCTGGATGGACGACTTAACAACAGGAAAACACTGTCACACAACAGAGAGTCACTTTTGTGTCCGTTTAAATCCATAATCAAGTTGAAGAAAAACTTGTGCTTTGAGAAGGTTGCAAGTACCCGGTTCAATCCCTACAGCCTAGACTCTGGGTTCCTGAGCAACACCCTTAACCCCACACTGCTCTCCGGGTGTCGCACAATGGCAGCTCACTGCTCCCCAAAGGGGACGGGTTAAATGCAGAGGGCGAATTTCTCAGTTGTGAGATCAATAAAGTTCAATTTCTATTTCTTATCTATTTTTGTTTTACTTTTATTTCATTTAAAGAACACAGACCTTTGCCAAGTAACAAAATTTTGCCTTATATTTTGAGCTACACCTATTGCTAAACTGCTTGTTTCCTCCATAAATCGCTATCTCACAATGTTGAAAAAATACGTAAAAAGAAAAAAATGGTATCCGGATAATGATATGGATCATCACTACAAATATAATGGATTATGCCTTAGCATAAGGTACACTTCTGGTTAGAGCTGGGCGATATGGCGATATATATCGTGAGGACGATAGAAACATGTCTATCGTGACCTTTCTCCTCTATTTTTTCTATCGTGATAAACTTTTTCACTGTTCACTGTCATGGCCGCAAATTGCATAACTGGTGTTCTTGGTTTGGGGTTGGGATTCTCATATTAGGAAACAAGATGATGGGTAAAAAATAGGCGATGAAAGATTTTTTTCAACCCTATCCATCTGACGGACTATGAAAACATAAAATGCAACATCAGTTGTGGTATATCGTGATATATATCGTTATCGTGATATAAAATAATCCATATCGTGATATAGTTTTTTTTCCATATCGCCCAGCCCTACTTCTGGTAATAAAAAATAATAATAAATCATTAAAATCCATTAAGAACTTTTTATGTTATCCTGTAAACAGACAGACTATGACATAACCTCCTTGGCAGAGGGAACAAAAATTGAATACAATGAAGCTTTAAACCTTTATGAGCATTATAAGAAGAGTTATAATTCAGTTGCCATTTTATTCCCTCACTTCAAAAATGTGGAACTTTCAAAAGAAGAAACAGAAAAGTCGCTTCATAAAAAAAAAAAAAAAACAACCACCCCCTAGAGTCCGCAACTTTAAGTTCTACCCTGAGGAGCCATGATTTCTGCTTCATTAGACAGCAATGCATCTAAAAACAGTTCCAGCATCGTTAAGGGTTAATAGAATTGGTATGTTATGGGTTTAAGAAGCCATGAAAAGGATCACTTTAAGTTTTGTGATTGCATCCTTAATAGGGACAAGTCCAGAGATTTCAATGCGTATTAAACCGCGTTCAACAGTTGATAGAGGAGGACGGCGCTGCAACTAGACTGACACGACCACAGTACTGATAGATTACTGATAGTCCCAATATGAGATTCCAAAAAAAAAGTTAGAAAACAAGCCACTGGTCTATGTTTCCAAGGTTGAAAACCATATTGCACCCCATTTGAGAATTTAGATGCTTAAAAAATAAATAAAAAAACACTTAATGCTAGATACATTTACAGGGTTTATAAACGAATGAGCAACTCTAATTTAATGCTATTTAATGCACTTTTAATGCTCTTAGATATAATTTTAATGCCATCAACAAGTACCCATGACTCTCATATATACACGGCAAATTCCCTCTTCATTTACCGTCTGCAGGCTGCAATTCGTCGATTTCCAGCCACTTCTGTTGAAATTCGCATTTTCCCCATTCCCCAGCTTTTTCTCTGCCTCGAGCTTCTTTTCCGAACATATGGCTTTACGATCAACCGGAAGCAGTTCTGAACAAATATGCAAATATATTGCGATATAATATTTTGTAATATATTCGCATATATATATATATACACTCACCGGCCACTTTATTAGGTACACCATGCTAGTAACGGGTTGGACCCCCTTTTGCCTTCAGAACTGCCTCAATTCTTGGTGGCATAGATTCAACAAGGTGCTGGAAGCATTCCTCAGGGAGTCTGGTCAATATTGACATGATGGCATCACACAGTTGCTGCAGATTTGTCGGCTGCACATCCATGATGCGAATCTCCCATTCCACCACATCCCAAAGATGCTCTATTGGATTGAGATCTGGTGACTGTGGAGGCCATTTGAGTACAGTGAACTCATTGTCATGTTCAAGAAACCATTCTGAGATGATTCCTGCTTTATGACATGGCGCATTATCCTGCTGAAAGTAGCCATCAGAAGTTGGGTACATTGTGGTCATAAAGGGATGGACATGGTCAGCAACAATACTCAGGTAGGGTGTGGCAATGCAACGATGCTCAATTGGTACAAGGGGCCCAAAGAGTGCCAAGAAAATATTCCCCACACCATGACACCACCATCACCAGCCTGAACCGTTGATACAAGGCAGGATGGATCCATGCTTTCATGTTGTAGACGCAAAATTCTGACCCTACCATCCGAATGTCGCAGCAGAAATCGAGACTCATCAGACCAGGCAACGTTTTTCCAATCTTCTATTGTCCAATTTCGATGAGCTTGTGCAAATTGTAGCCTCAGTTTCCTGTTCTTAGCTGAAAGGAGTGGCACCCGGTGTGGTCTTCTGCTGCTGTAGCCCATCTGCCTTAAAGTTCGACGTACTGTGCGTTCAGAGATGCTCTTCTGCCCACCTTGGTTGTAACGGGTGGTTATTTGAGTCACTGTTGCCCTTCTATCAGCTCGAACCAGTCTGGCCATTCTCCTCTGACCTCTGGCATCAACAAGGCATTTCCGCCCACAGAACTGCCGCTCACTGGATGTTTTTTCTTTTTCGGACCATTCTCTGTAAACCCTAGAGATGGTTGTGCGTGAAAATCCCAGTAGATCAGCAGTTTCTGAAATACTCAGACCAGCCCTTCTGGCACCAACAATCATGCCACGTTCAAAGTCACTCAAATCACCTTTCTTCCCCATACTGATGCTCGCTTTGAACTGCAGGAGATTGTCTTGACCATGTCTACATGCCCAAATGCCTTGAGTTGCCGCCATGTGATTGGCTGCTTAGAAATTAAGTGTCAACTAGCAGTTGGATGGGTGTACCTAATAAAGTGGCCGGCGAGTGTAAATCTGTATATATATATATATATATATATATATATATATATATATATATACAGGTGCTGGTCATAAAATTAGAATATCATGAAAAAGTAGATTGATTTCAGTAATTCCATTTAAAAAGTGAAACTTGTATATTATATTCATACATTACATACAAACTCATATATTTCAGATGTTTATTTTGTTTAATTTTGATGATTACAAATGACAACAAATGAAAATCTCAAATTCATCATATCCGAAAATTAGAATATTGTGAAAAGGTTCAAAATTGATGGCCCCTGGTGCCACACTCTAATCAGCTAATTAACTCAAACCACCTGCAAAAGCCTTTAAATGGTCTTTCAGTCTAGTTCTATAGGCTACACAATCATGGGGAAGACTGCTGACTTGACAGTTGTCCAAAAGACGACCATAGACACCTTGCACAAGGAGGGCAAGACACAAAAGGTCATCGCTAAAGAGGCTGGCTGTTCACAGAGCTCAGTGTCCAAGCACATTAATAGAGAGGCGAAGGGAAGGAAAAGATGTGGTCGAAAAAAGTGTACAAGCAAGAGAGATAACCGCACCCTGGAGAGGATTGTGAAACAAAACCCATTCAAAAATGTGGGGGAGATTCACAAAGAGTGGACTGCAGCTGGAGTGAGTGCTTTAAGAACCACCACACACAGACATATGAAAGACATGGGTTTCTGCTGTCGCATTCCTTGTGTCAAGCCACTCTTGAACCACAGACAGCGTCAGAAGCGTCTTGCCTGGGCTAAAGAGAAAAAGGACTGGACTGCTGGTGAGTGGTCCAAAGTCATGTTCTCTGATGAAAGTAAATTTTGCATTTCCTTTGGAAATCAAGGTCCCAGAGTCTGGAGGAAAAGAAGAGAGGCACTTCATCCACGTTGCTTGAAGTCCAGTGTAATGTTTCCACAGTCAGTGATGGTTTGGGGTGCCATGTCATCTGCTGGTGTTGGTCCATTGTGTTTTCTGAGGTCCAGGGTCAACGCAGCCACATACCAGGAAGTTTTAGAGCACTTCATGCTTCCTGCAGCTGACCAACTTTTTGGAGATGCAGATTTCATTTTCCAACAGGACTTGGCACCTGCACACAGTGCCAAAGCTACCAGTACCTGGTTGAAGGACCATGGTATCCCTGTTCTTAATTGGCCAGCAAACTCTCCTGACCTTAACCCCATAGAAAATCTATGGGGTATTGTGAAGAAGAAGATGCAATACACCAGACCCAACAATTCAGAAGAGCTAAAAGCCACTATTAGAGCAACCTGGGCTATCATAACACCTGAGCAGTGCCACAGACTGATCGACTCCATGCCACGCCGCATTGCTGCAGTAATACAGGCCAAAGGAGGCCCAACTAAATACTGAGTGCTGTACATGCTCATACTTTTCATGTTCATACTTTTCAGTTGGCCAACATTTCTATAAATCCTTTGTTTTTATTGGTCTTCAGTAATATTCTAATTTTCTGATATGATGAATTTGAGATTTTCATTTGTTGTCATTTGTAATCATCAAAATTAAACAAAATAAACATCTGAAATATATGAGTTTGTATGTAATGTATGAATATAATATACAAGTTTCACTTTTTAAATGGAATTACTGAAATCAATCTACTTTTTCATGATATTCTAATTTTATGACCAGCACCTGTATATATATAGTTTAATAAACTGTTTTTATAAACTTGTTTTTCTAACTAAAGCATTTTAAATGCCAAAATAATCACATTTAATGAATTTTAATGCTAATTTCGCCTTAATTAAAAAAATTATTTAATAACTTTTAATGATTTTTAATGACCTGCGGAAACCCTGATTTAGATGGGGTTCAATGGATATTTTTTTGTAGCTTAACATCAGTTTAGGTCAGAGGTCATGGATTAGCGGACAGCGCTCCAGATCCGGACCACCCTGCTGGCTAATCCAGACCCAACCTGATTTAAAACATTTATAGATTACCGCATGTTGTCCGACGACAGTGTTTAACCCCGAAATCCCACATCCTCTGTCTCCGCTCCCCCCGACTGCGCTCCAGACCTCCTGCGCAAAGCAAGGCCTACAGCCTACGCTGTTCCTTCCATCTTGCTCCGCTCCGACTTCCTCTGAGCTCAAGGAGAGCATGCACTAAATTGTTATTAAATATAGATTAACACTTAATTTAATATGACAAAAAAAATCCCCACAATCCAGCCAGCATATATTTAGTTTATGCACAAATATTTTCGTTTTGCAGTGGATTTTTCTAACAAGGATAATTAGGATCATACATGGTTTGTATGAACTATGTTTGTTCTCTGCTTCCAAAATCTCATCCATGCCTGACATGAGAAGTTTCTTTTGAAGTTGTGAGAGGTGCTCTGCATTTTGAAACTTTTAAATCTCTTAGTATAAATAAATATTTTGATGGAGATGAGAAATCTGCTTCCTGGTATGTTGAAGTACCAAGAGTTTGCATCCAATCATTCAAACAAACTGTTTTAGTTTTTGGGAATATATAAGCTCACGAATGAGCCTGGAATGGCTTGAGAATGGCTTTGTCTACATTCAAACTCAGGTTTAGGGCTTTGCAGGGCAGCCTAAAGCCCACTGCTCTCATTAAGCCATACAAAATTAAATGAATAACAGTGAGTTCAGGTGTTTTATAATATATATGAGTCAGGAAATTGTCTATATACCAAAGTGAACCATTGTTGTCCTCTACTTCAAAAAACATTTTAAAATGGAATTTTTTTTTTTTATTATTTTAAATCTCAATGTATAACATGGATGCATAAAAACCTCATTTTATTCCAGCGCTAAATTCTGTTTAAAGTAACATAATTAAAAATGTCTCCAGGCCTTTACTGGTTGTTTCTTATTTGGTGACCCCTGGTTTAGGTGTTTGGAGCAAGAATGGCAAAATTACAAAGTGGAGAAAAGATTACTAAACAAATTGAAAGGCATCAGTGAATGTTTCAAAAATAATATTAAAAATACTGACAATAGCAGTTATACTTATATATTTCCACACTATTTAGTCGATACTATTCAATGCCAACAGGGGTTATTGGCTCTGTATTTCCACTTCCTTAATGTGTAAAGATAAGATGAACGGAAGGAACACAATGAAAGCTCTGAACTTCTCTAATTTATGGGGAGAAAAAAAAAGAGCAGACTGGAAGTGGATGCTGCGTTATTTTGCAAGATGTCAGTTTCAACCAGAGTGAATCTTACTAATGCAAAATGCAATACTTTAGCACAGCTCTGCATCCGATTTTGAGGAAAAATAACTCAATTTAGAGAGTAAATGTGGTTTCCGTTGTCTTTCATTTATTCAACAGTGTTTTCCATTTTAAAAGTCTGATTATGATCCTAAAATCTAAGTCAAAGGAGTGTGGTTGAGTGAAGCTCTAGGAAGTTTCCAGCGTGGAGGTAACATGCTAACAGCTCTGTTAGCGGAGTGTTTGCAGTCCTTTACTTCCAACAATGAATCCCAAAACGGACAACCAGCTACTTTTAGATTTTATGAAACGCCCATGGCAGCACTAGCCCTGTCAGAGGGAGTCCTAACCTGCAGCCAGCCAGAGGAAACGCCCGCTGCTCATTCATCCACTGACCGTTAGCCAGCTAGCTGTTAGCTCCAGAATATTGCAGCTTAAACTGGGTTTATTAACGCTTCTATGTGGCCGAAACAACCGTCAGGATGCATTTCAACTCTCACGAGGAGTAACCAACTCAGTTGAACGAAGAGTTTATGTATTAAACCGTTATGGCTAACTCTGCTTATTCCTACCTGTGGAAGTGACAGCAGCAGCTCGTTTTCTGATCCAGGTCCAACCTTCAACAAGCCGTGACTCTGATTGGACCAGCGTTTCAGGCCCACGGTAAAGCGCCTTTCTGATTGGAGCAACTGAGACTGACGCTATGAAAGTGATTCACTACTAGCTTTCTGATTGGTTAGATTCTCGAATAAACTGAGGAGCTTGGAGAGTTGCATTCGCTTTACGCACGAACTCGATCAGTTTTCACTTTTTTCTTAGGAGATGAGCTTTGAAGGCAAAGATTTCAACTATATGGGTTCTCTCTTTATGAATTAGTGATTCCTTAACTATTCTTTGGCTTTATACAAGAGCAAAAAAACTCTGTAGAACAAACAAAATATATGTTATTTGCTATACTCCAATTTCCAAGGTACTTTGAAGGCAACAGTGCCTGTACAATTTTAAGTCCCACCCTTTACGCATTCCTATTGGCTGCTCACTTTCTGTTAAAGAAACCACACCATACATGGTAGTCTTTTAATTATCGTAGTTGCCTTAATGATAAAATCGACCAAAAAAGTTATGCTTTTTATAATATAATTATTGTTACTGTGTAAAAAAAAAATGAAAATATATAAGAATGAAGAGCTTTGGTTACAGTAGTTGGTAATTTTGTGGAGTCCATTAGAGGTCAGTCTTGAGGCAAAAACAATTTACACCAGGCCCATATTTAAACCAATTTAGGTTTAAATATGTTTTCATCATTAAAATTCATAAGAAGCAAAAAAATTACATTATTTGTACTCTCAAACCAGTTCAGCAGCTGGTTTTACAAAATAACACTGGGAGCAAAGTGACCAGTTGTTAGATCCTTTATTACAGCGTCCAAATATAGTCTGCTAATAATAGTCTAACCTCACAAGCCTTCATGTTTTCTGTCCTGAAACTCTGCAGTGAAGCTAAGGAGGACGTGTGCTTGGCTTACACATTTATATTCATCAAGGTGAGTTAATTTAAAGGGAAAGAAAAGAAAGATGATGCAATTGAACTAAAATCAGTCACTATAAGATCCAACAGAGCTACATTTAAATGCCTTGCATGCTTTCGGGTTCCCAGTCTGTTTACTGCATCCCAAAAAAGAGAAGCATGAAAAAAACTGCCTATATCCATTTCTGTTTTAGCTTTGGTCAACCTTCTTTTGATCAGAATGGGGGACTTCCAGCAGTTTGAGCAAGACTTCTACCAAACAGGATATTACATCGATGATCAGGGACGTGCTGTGGCCTATTATGACACTGAGTAAGTATAGCTTAAAATGCATGTTACCTAAATATAGTTATAGTGTTTTGTAAGAAGCATTTGGTTTTCCAGACAAAAAAAGTTAACAAGTTTTGTGTTACACTTTAAGAGGTCAAATCATTTCCAGATTGTTTTTGTACTCTGAAACAAACTTCCATTTTCATTAATGATGTTTAAATGATGATGATTTTTACAGTGGGGGACAAGATGCTATGCCGAATATTCAAAATCCTTTCATGGAGCAGCAGTACCCTGGAGAAATCTACCAACCAACTATGCAAGCCACATCTTTTAGCAGCACTGGATCAGAGTCTCCAGAGGAGGAACCTCCTCTTCTTGTTGGTAATAACATATTTTCTGACACGTCGGTTCTATAAGGTCAAATCTTGTTGACGAAACAAATCTGCCTAAATTAGCTGCAAAAAAGGAAAATCTAAATATGTTCAATTTGAATAAAAGCGAACCAAAAATCTGGAAACAACATTCTTATTACTTAAATAAAACTTGCAAACAGCAATAAATATTTGTAAAAAAAAAAAAATAAATAAATAACCACGGCATTTGATGTTTTTTGTATTGTGGACATTTCCTGAGCTGCTGCACTTTTCTCCAGAACTTGGAATTGATTTTGATCACATGTGGCAGAAGACACTCACAGTTCTAAACCCTTTAAAGCCTGCAGACGGCAGCATAATGAATGAGACAGATTTGACAGGTCCTATCCTCTTCTGCATTGCTCTGGGTGTCACTTTAATGATGGTGAGTCTGATTCTCATCATGCATTTCTGCATCTTCAGTTTTCTAACATAGTTGTAGTTTTACCCCCTGAAACTCTTCTCCATTCAGGCAGGTAAAGTTCACTTTGGCTACGTCTATGGGATCAGTGCCATTGCCTGCATCGGGATGTACATTCTGCTGAGTCTGATGAGCTCTTTAGCTGTTTCTTACGGCTGTGTGGCTAGTGTCCTGGGGTACTGCCTCCTACCTATCGTGGTCCTCTCCACATTTGCTGTCTTCTTCTCCTTGCAGTAAGTCTGTGTATTTGTTTTAATTAGTCTGAGTTATAGAGATATTTTAGGATCAAAGCTGTTTGTTTTTTTAACCTTAACCTTCATTGTTTTTGTTTTCTCAGAGGCTTCCTTGGAACAGTCCTTGCTCTGCTTGCCATTTGTTGGTGCAGCTTCTCAGCCTCTAAGATCTTCATCTCCACCCTTGCAATGCAGGAGCAGCAGATGTTGGTGTTTTACCCATGTTCCCTGCTGTATGGACTCTTCACGCTGCTCACTGTCTTTTAACTTCCACCTGATGAAACCAAACTCCTGCATGTCATGTAGTTATTTTTTCACGTTTAAAAATATTCCTTTTTTTAATTATTTGCTTTAGAGCTGTTTGTGGGCACAATCATTTAAAATACTTTTTCAACTAATTTAAGAGATTTTATTTTAAGAGTAAAACTGGTATTTATCATGCCTCATTGACAAGCTTTGAGGATAAAAAGTCCATAGTTCTTTCTCCAACTCCTTAATTTTGATTATACTTTAAATGCTGTTAGATATTTACTCTCTTACACTACATCCATCCACCCATCCATCACACTCATCCCCATTGGGGTCACGGGGGTAGTGGGGCCTATCTGTAGCTTTCTACAGGCGAGGGGTCTGGTACACAGGTTGCCAGTCCATTGCAGGGCAACACAGACACATACAGGACCAACAACCGTTAACGCACACACTCACACCTAAGGACATGTTGTTTTGACTGTGGCAGGAAGCCGGAGTGTCCGGAGAGAATCCACACATGCTCAGGGAGAACATGCAAACTACATGCAGAAAGACCCCGGGCCGGGAATTGAAACCCAGAACCTTCTTGTTGCAAGGCAGCAGTGCTATCTACTGCACCCTCAAACATCGCAATAAAACCATATTTTTTAGCAATTAATATCGGTCTCCAAAGCATAAAGTATCCATCCAGCCTGTATTTGCCACAGATGATTGGTGCCTGTCTCTAGCAGTCCACAAGTGAATGGCAGGCCAATACAGAGACACAAAACCATACACACACTCACACCCATTGGCCATTTAGAGTTACCAACTGACCTAATATGCTTTTGCACTGTGCGAGGAAGCATCCACAGAGAGAACACGCAAAATCCATGCAGAAAGACTCTAGGTTGGTAATGAATCCAGGACATTCTTGCTGTAAGATAACAGGGAAACAAGCTGTGTCACTATTCAACCCAAATGCTAAATGATTTTTATATGTGTGCACAGTGAACTCAGATTTTTTAGAGGGAGTCTGTCCATCTATCCATCCATGGGGGGTGGGGGAAAGAGGTGGTAAAAACCCTGAGGTGACAAGACTTGTATAGGGCATTGCCATTCTTTTTTGTTGCAGCAGGGGGAGATAGAACCTCACCGAGAGATAAGACGAGGTTGCTAAGATCTAGGAGAGTTCATTTTTTTTTCTTCACCTTTTTCTTGTGGAGTAGCGCAAAAGAGTTAAATCTGGAAATATGTTAAATCTGAAAGGTTTGTCAAATAGTTGACAGTAATTATACAAAACATTTATGAGTGTGTAAAAACATAATTGGCAAACTGCTCATATTTAATTTGCTCCTTTGATTATGTGGCTGGTATAGGATTTTAGGCAAGACCAATTAGAGATTTGTGCGATCACAACCGCACATTGTTGAGTTGCTTCAACTTTGGACAAAAAAATGTATTTAGGTTTATAAAAGAAACAACCTTTAACAGTAAATATGATCAGTTATTTAGCTCAGATTCCATATTAAAATGTATATTTTTAGTTGGCTAGCAGGATGTTAAAAAGTAAACAAGTCATTCAATTAAGTCAACAAACGGATACTATTGTTTTTACACCATATCTACATTGCATGAAGGGGTGAGTTGACTGTGATTGCTTGAGACTCTGATGCTCTGCAGACAATAATTTACGGTTAGATAGAATGTGGAGAAACAAAGAGGAGTCAGTTTGTGGATTTCGACATATTTTTCTAATGATATTAGCAATGAGTAACTTGTAAAAGGCCCTTAAGGTGAATCAGGTTCCTCAGGGGTTTCACATGGTAACAGAATTGATCTCTTAAGGATTGCTGTTTTCCCTGCTTGGTGTTTCTATTGAGTTTAAGAAACAATGATACAACAGTAGTTGAGCTCCGACAGTGAGGTTTTGGCCAGAAAAAGTGAAATCCTGCAGCTGGAGGAAGGGAATTAAGTTGTTTAAGTTAAGATTTGTGCCACCACCTATTATGAAACCTAGTAGAAGTTAGCTTGCAGAGCAATGTAAGGCCTAAGGAACAGCAAGAGATCAAGTTCGCACTTTAGACTCAAAATAGACCAACAGAATTTTTACTTTACTTTGAAAGATGGTCTGACCAAAAGACCTGACAAAGCGACCACAGTTTGTGAGACTGAAAGGTCTCGTATTTAATGATGTAGCTAAAAGCACCACAGCGGAATTCCTTTTTCTACTCTTATTCACCTCCGACTTTCAATACAAGATGAATTACTGTCATATGGAGAAATTTTCTGATGACTTTGCAGTCTTTGGTTGTATCAGAGTGGGTCAAGAATAAAGTAAACCTTTGGATTGCCTTTTGGCCACAACAGACTGGACTGTAGATGCGGGTGTGAAGCAGTCTACAAGAAGGAATATAGCAGAGTTTAATTTTTGCAGAACCTTAGTTTCAGTGTTGGTAAGATGATGCTGCATTTCTTTAATAAATCTGTTGTAGAGAGTGGGATTTTTTCTTAAAATAAGTGCATTTTTTTCTATAATTGATGAGGTAAGTGAGTCATTTTGCCAATGTAAAAAGAGGGTTTACTCCTAAAATAAGAAAAAAAACATTTCATTGTATTATTTCAAGTGTATATTACCCACTTATCTTCTTTTAGGAGTAAAAGTACTAATTCCTCAGACTTATACAACTTCTATTGTCTTTTTTTATACACAGAGTACATACAAAACAAAATTTCATTTAGTACAGCAAATCATCTCATTTACCTTCTCAGATTAAGGGTAAATAAACTTAATTTAAGACAAGTTGACTTATGTCTAGATAATTTTTACAGTGTTGGGGTAGCAGCTTCAGAATAAATAACTTAAAGAAGGAAAAAAAGCTAATATGAAGGTTGTTTCTTTTCTGGAAACTCCTCTAGAACTTCTGGAGATGATTATACAAAGAAGAATTCTTCATAAAGGAAGAAACTATGGACAACTCTGAGGATTTTCAGTCGAAGTTTTGTTCCATTCTGATGTGAGATCTTCTAAGACCTCAATGTTGCTGATGGAGCAGTTCTTCAGGTCTCTCTCCTGATGTAAACCCTTACCTAAAACAGATTCTCTAACATTAGAAAATCTACCTTGGCTTGAATATTAGGGAAATATGATGATCTAATTTTCTTCTTTTTCGCCATCAGAATATCCAAAACCCCATAGCATACTTGACCCCTCCCTATACTTTCTGAATCATCATGCACTATAGGTCCAAAGTAATTACATAAGTGGTCTTTTGACAAAAAAAAGAAGTTAGATTATCTATGATTAGCTACCAAATTAGGTTAGTAGATAGGTTTTTATAGTGTTTCAAATCCTCAAATTCCTGTATACTGTGTACCATGTGGCTTTGGCTAAAAGGGCCCCACCAGCTGGCCCCAGGTCAGCTTGGCTCTCTGTAGAGTTTTCCATATTCCACAGAACAGAACCAAGCAGAACTCTTTCATGCACTTCCTTTATACTTTAGCAATTGGAAGCACTCCCTACAGCAAACTTTACCAGAGGTTTCATCGGTTTTGTTGCTTACAAACATCTCCCCGAACAACAATGAGTTTGATTTCTTCTCTATAAAGCTGATGTTTAGACTTTCTGTTACTCAACAATGATCTAATCAGAACACAGGATTATTCTTAGTCTAAAGCAAAATCGGTTCAAATACTTTGCTGTTCATACAAATATTTTGGAAGATGTATCTAACATGTGGCAACATCATTTTCTTCTGCTGTAATGAAATATCACTTTTAAAACACTGAGTCATTTTTAACATTGTTAAGCACAGACTAATGGGAATATGGCCTTAAACAGGGGAAGTCTAAGAGCCAAGGGTTCTGACCGCTATCTTTCTATTTTGGAGAATGTGAAAATTGATCCTCCTTAGTAAAAATTTGCCAATTATGTTTTTACACACTCATTTCTGATAGCTTAGAGTACGAGTCATTGTAACAGTCATGTTTTGGACTGTGAGAGGAAGGGTACCCACAGAAAAACCATGTATGCAATGGGTCAGTTTAGGTTGGGATTTTAACCCTTGATCTTATGTTGAATTGTGCCTTGAGATGACATTTGTTGTGAGTAGGCACTATATAACAAAACAGAATTGATTCTTATGCTGCACAAAAAACGTGTTAATTTAGACATTTTAAATGTCTTAAGCCCTCTTGTACTTAATTTTCCAATAAGTATATATATATATATATATATATATATACATGTTATTAACTTTACAAGGAGGACGTATATCAAACATTGCTTAGTGGTCAACTAACCTGAGCCTTAATTCTACCCTTTAGTTGATTAATGCATTTAAAGACCTCTTGTCAAAATACTTGATCTTATATCCTTGGTCTGAACTAAGAAAAAGCCCACAGTTAGTCGAAGTGATGGCATAAACAACAGCCACAGATCGTGTTTATATTAGAGAGCATAACCTCCCTTCCTTACAGAGGGGATATATGTGAGGGAACATGTGTGCATGTTTGACAGAAAGCAGAGGGAAAGGAGAGGACAATCCCACGGTGGGACTGTGAGGAGCAAGCCCACTCTTTCTTCTCCTAACTGTTTGGATTGGTTAAAGCAAACAAATCCCTCCGGCCAAGCGGTAGGCTCAAGACAAGCGCTCCCCGGGCCTCGCACAGTCCTCTCGCTACTTTACACTAAATTCTTCCAGATGATTTATGAGCTCTCTCTTCTCAGAGGCTCTCTGCTGCTCACCTTTCATTCGGCAGAGCTCAGCTGACGGGGATCCGTGCTTGGAGCACTGCAAGCCGTCATTGACCCGGGAGCTCTGCTTTTACTCGAGTCCTCCCTGCAGCGGTTTATAGTGTTTAAGGATGTAATATGGATTAGCAATGTTTGCTGTACTTCCTCCTTGTAAAGTCTGCTGTTTGTAGGTTGAGATAAAACTTGAAGGTTTCCTGGGAAGTTGCATCAGTTGTGGTGTTTCTCCTGACCGATCATACATCCAGGTCTATACCATCACTGCTGCAAGTAAAGCCTTCTGATTGTAAAGAGTCAGCTTTGTTTTCTGGTGTTATAATGTTTTGAGCAGACTTTGAGTCCAACATGTTTGAGCTATTTGTTTTTTTACAGTACACATTGTTTGTATTATTATCATAAAACTCAGGTTCAGTTTGACATTTTTTGCACTTTTATTTCTACCTCCAATTCTTAAAACCATCTTTTCATTGCTCGGATTTCTATACCTTGTTTCTTTGTCATCTTA